TAGTGTGATACACCTTTTTTTAATTTAAAATTTGAATTGAAAAATGATGTGTGATCTAATAAAATGTTCTAGAAGAGAAAATTCAGCGTGTGAATGTTTGAAAGAGATGCAATGGTGGTACTCCCATGGGTAGTGACTCAAAAAATGGCCCAAGACTGTGTTTTTATTGATCATTTGTCAAATTAATCAAATTTAAACATTCATCAAAATAATATTGATTGTTTCAAATGACTTGAATAGAATTTTCTCTTCAGAATTTAGGTCATAAGGTACTATATATTTAGGTTATAAGGTATTATATATATGGCTGCAAGTTTTTCTTCTCCATTTTACCCTTAATATAATATATCGATAAATAAGTTTTATGAAATGTTCTCATGGTACTCTTTGGAAAAAAAAAAAAAAAAAACTGAATTTTAGATTTATCTATTTTATGTTTCAAGTTTGAAGTTGAAACAATAGGGTTTATTATAATTTTGGCGGTACACGTGGCAGCTAGATTGACCAGAAGTCTGTCCATAAAAATTCCCAAATAGTCGCACATAAACCAATCCATTCCTGTACGGCTCTACCCAAGTCTGCTCCTCCCGCGATCGCGCGGCTAGACTTGTACGGGGATGCCTCGCTATACAAACGAGCCCCCTGCGGTTCGCGTCTATACGATTTGCGATGAGTCAAGGTCTACTCCGCTTCTCTTATTTCTCCTTTGCAGAATCCAAGATCTATGCGGCTTATATTTACCTCGTTTTTTCTTTTCTTTTTTTTGTGAAATCCTGCAGGTATTTAATTGTGAGAAACGTTCCGGCATTGGGTTGCGGAGATGAGCTGCTCAAACTGTTCTCCTCCTATGGAAACCTTGAAGAGTACTCTTTTCGTTTCCGTTCTTTCTTCTATAATCATCTTTACATCCTTTTTCTGTAGCGCGTTATGTCAGTTTACCTCAGCTGCGACATGTATTGCCATTTCATCTTGAAAGCAGTGTCGGATTGGTTTCTGATAATTTCATATGCCTATCTTAAGAATATTCAACACCTCTTATGCCTACATATTTTCCTTCTGTCTTATTTCATACTCCGACAGGTGTAAACCGATGGATGCAGAAGAATGTGATGAATTCACAGACGTTTATTTTGTCAAATTTCATTTGGTCAGCAATGCCAGGTAATTTCAGCTTGGTTGTGGTTCTCTTTTGGTCAAAATAATGCGTTATTGAGCCCCTGTATTTGAACCATAATATTTTAACTTTTAGGTTTGCTAAAAGAAAATTGGATGAGTTTGTTTTCCTTGGTAATCGGCTGCAAGTCTCCTATGCTCCTGACTTTGAAAGCTTGCTTGATACAAAGGAAAAGCTAGAAGTTAGGAGACGAGAAGTTTTAGCACGATTGAATTGTAAGTTTGTGTTTGCGCAAAAAGTAGGCTTTGGCATATTTTGTGTATGATAGGAAGATGTTGTTTTAGGAGGAAATGGTGTTTCCTTCCAATAGTTCACTTTTAAGCATGTTATAATTTTGCTATCAGCTGGAAGACCAAGAGGATCTGCCGTTAATTCAGCAACCACGAAGTTTACAAATCCTTCTCATTCTCATTATACTCTTGAACAGAAGAGCTCTCTTGAAAAGAGGTATAAGCAGAATGAAAATTTGCAGTTTCTCCAATCTTGACATAGTTTAAACTGTCCTTTTTTGGTAGGAATTATGGAGATGCAGCACTCAGTTCCAATCCACATGTGTCTCAAATAACAAGAGTTTCCTCTGACCAGGTTTGTTATCATAGTTTTTTTTCCTTCTCTTGTCATCTCACCTTTTATGTTATGATTATTAACAAAGCTAGGAATCATTATTCTGTGTTCGTTTAGTTTATGCTTTCTCTTGTACTTGATGTATTTGGACGTAGTTCCATTACATGCTGCAATACGGGTACAAGGAGTTAAATCCAACAGGTTGCACGATTACTTTGAAAGGCAAATGAATGTGATAGGTTGCAAGCACAAAATTAGAAAATCTCTTTATTTGTAATTAGGCAAGTATATGCCTTTTGCTTGCTCTTTTGCTGATCAATTCAAATAAAATAGTGGGGTGATCTGCAATCAACGTAGTGTTATTTTACTTGATTGGAGGCTCTTCTTATATGCTGCCTCCTTTTGTGGACTCTCTTTTTGTATGTCTTTATATTCTTTCTTTCTCTTTTTGTTCTTTTCCTTAATGAAAGTTCGATTTCTCATCAAAAAGAAGAATAAAATGTATTTATCATCAACGTAGTCATGCCAATAGGCTAACAATACTAACTACTGACTCCATAACTTGCCCCATCTATCATGAATGGTAGGTACATAGGTTATTCAGTGACTATGGTATTCTAATTTTTGGTTTTTTTTTCATTTCCTCATTTTGATTTTCAAGAATTCGAACTAACGTGTCAATAGTTGTAATATAGTAACCATCAATTCCTCAATAACAGAGTTCTCAAGTGTTGGTGCTTCAAGTCTCTCATTAATGCATAGTTCACCGAGTTGTTAGACTTTTGACCTAAAATGTCTTTTGCATCTTGGGTCAGATTTGTGTGTTGAAAAGATTTAAAACAAATGACACCGTTTATTTGGCTAAGAAGACCAAACCACTTGGCATTCCATTGGAGGTTACCCAAACATCAATATTTGAATCAAAATTCTACTCTAGGCTCCTCATCAAATTCATTGTTGAAGATATTTTCATCAGTTTTGACTACCTCTTCAAAATTATCTTTAGAATTATTTTTCTCCAAATTCCATACCCAATGCCACAAATTGTATTATATTGAAGAGTGTAGTAGGCTTCTAACTCTGGGTAATGAAGAAGGTTGGAGAGGCCTACGTTTGTGTACTGTGGCTCCTTGGGCTTGAGGACCTTGGAAATCAACTTGGCTTGTTATCCTTGCTATCAGACTGGTCGAAGGTTTAGATGACTGATATGTATCTATAGTCTTCAGGGCTTCTTTAAAATATATGTTATAATCTCACTTTAGAGAGAGAATGGAAATCAGGTTCACCTTCTTATCGTAGTTATTACACCATCGGAAAGAAATGGAGAAAATAAGTCCTTGACATTCATTGCCGTCAGATTTCTTTACTGTTAGTCGAACTTTATTTTCTTTTGCCCTTTTTCCACTGGAATCAGGGATTTGGTGACCTTAAGTGAGGTGGGGAGAGAAAGGTCCAACTACGCATTGGAGAAATGAGCATGATGCAATAGTGACTTTTCATTGAACTCAGATTTGAAGATTTGAAGATAGAGTGGCTTAGTGTCCATATAGAATTTACATACATGCATATATACACGCGCACACATGCACACATACATGAAGCAAATGCCTCTTGGTGTGAATCAATGGTGAAGAAGATGCACTTTTGCAATGTAATAGATATTGACCTGGTGGGTGGAAATTAGGGGTAGGGGCTTGATTTTCTTTGGATGAAGCAAGAGCTTCTTGGTGTGGAACAAGTGTGTAGATGTTCGGGGACATGGTTTTGTATCGGGATGTGGAGAAAAGATTTTTTTGGTGGCAGGTCACACCACCCTCAATATCTCAACTCCATTCTTCGTTTGTGGCTATCCTTCATCTTTAGGAACAACCTAAGATATATATATATATATATATATTTATTATTTTTTTTTTTTTTGAGTTCAGGAACAACCAAGACTCTTCGATACCAGATTATTGCAATAAGATTTTGTGATTAAGTCAAAATTATCAAAGGGGAAACCACCTAAACTGTCTAAAGTCTAAATTTTTTAATTATAAAAAAACTTCCAAGATAAACGAAGTATGGGCTATTTAACTTATAAAAAGATAAGAATAACTAGTGAATCACGAATGAACTAATCAATAGAATTAACTAACTGACATTAACATCTAACTAATTATCTATTGCCTTCATAGTTTTCTTACTGACACACTTGTTAGTTGCAGTTGAAGTTATGTTCAGTATACTTAAATTTATCAGTTTCAGGTTATTAATAAGTGCCTTTTTATCGTTTTTCCTCGTTTTTTCCCTGAAATAAAATCATAGTCTTGTTAAGACGGGCAACCTTTTCCTGTAGGACCTCTTGACTTGATTTTGTAGATTTTCTCTTCTTTTTTATTTTCAAGTACGTTCTTCATTGTTAAGGTTTAATTCCCTTTGGTTAGCTGTAGAGCCATGTACTCTTTTAGTTATATTTGTGAGTTTTGCCCTATTGATTTTTTTGATGTACATGTCTGATTGATGTTGGTTGGCTGACCCATCAGATAATGGCTTTTGAATCTTCTTGTTTCTGGTTGAATGTATGGATTGAATGTTTGTGGACGTTACTTCTTTTCTATATATATTCCTGTCCTTGTTGCGTAGCCTGTTGTAGTTTTTCTTGTGGCTAAAAATGTCACTTTTTTCTCGTGTACAGGATTACTTCGCATCTGAATCTATGAATCAAACTGTGCATCTCGTCAGGGAAAAGCTTGATAAGGTTAAAAAATTTATATATATCATATGATCAATTCTCCACATTTGAGCGCATTGTGATTTAATCATTGCTTACTAACTTTGTGCTTTAGATTCAATCATGCAGCGAACATCTGGAAGCTGGACCGGTGAGCAAGAGATCACGTGTGGATAATAGGAGAAGAATCTAATGCTTGCCGACCTTTATAGAGACGGCTAATGGGTGCCTCAACGTTGCACCAAACGCTACTTTGACACATCACATATACGCAGATTAGCAGTGTGCAAATTTAACTGTGATGTTTTATTAGAAAGGTGATTATTATTACAAAGTTCTGTAGGGGAGAGATTTATTGTCTATCACTACTCTAGCCCATATTTACAAGGCACATTTGCAATATCTTTTATTTTTATATAGCTAGCGATAATAAAATGGACTATTAGAGGGGTAATGACAAATAAATAATGAATTTACCAACAAAAAATTAGATCTACGGTATGCGCAAAAACAATGCGATCGTTCTTCATGCTAAGACAAGACCCCAGGTTTTCAACCATTCAAACTCAATTTTCCAACGAGTAACACCAGCGTTCACTTGAGTGATTTTGAGAAAAAGTGCAGGTATATATCATACAGACGGAAGGAAAACAAGATTTTCTTTGGCGCTTTGGTAAGATTTTAATTTAGGACAAGTACACTTGGATACCAGCCGTTTTGATCAACTGACAGACAGGACAGACATTTACAAGCCCATCGCAATCTCTACACAAACATAAATGTCTGCAAGGCATTAGTAGGATGGAAACCTCTTTAGCCTTGCATGCTTTGCAAATCATGTGCTCCTTGAAACCTGGTAAATTGCTGGTCGAAGATTTCATAGTCCCACCATGAACATTAAGGTAATTGTTTGGATCGATGTGTGAGGCAGCATCATCCACTTCACTATCTCCAAACCCTTCCTTCGCTTGGTCGGCACCCTGCGAGATAGCATGCTGAAGATTGTTTTTCAGGACATTCACCACTGATTCATTGTATTTTGCTCTGCAATGCCAATTTTGGGCTTCAGTGGCAACCTGCTTTATTCTCTCCACCAGTTCTCTATTTTTACGGTTCATGCTCTCAATTTCTACATCCTTCTCATGTAGTTTCTTTCCAATTCCTTTCTCAATCGCACTAAGAAAGGAAGCCACATGTCTTTGCTTCATGTCCCTAATACCCTTGGCCAAATGTTCCTCCTGTTGGCAAGGTAGATGGTAAGTTCAAAACATCGGACAAATGAATCAACTAAATTGAAGGATGATGCTTTAACACGAACACCCAATTTACAGGCGTAGTGTGAAGTGATTTCTATAGAGTAATACGAAGTACATGAACAAAATTAGACATTGACAAGAAACATCTGCCAGGAAATAACATCATAAATTCAGCATAGCATAAACTCCTAGAAGCATTGAGCAGCTTAAAAGTACCTGAATTTTAATATATTGATCGAATTCTTCCTTCTGTCTATCAATCTCAGTCCTGATATTATCACCAAGCGAAAAGATGATGGAAGGTGCAGTTGCCATACTTCCACTTGCAGTGGTAACAGAGGAGTTGTGTTCATCATCATCATACGATAGCCTCAAGCCTGTTGATACAGCATTTGGGTTTCTAATGCTTGCTGAACGATCAGCATCATCTTGACAGGCATTATAATTTAAGGAAATCTGAAGCTTCTGCTGCCATGAGAAATCTTCTATCTCCCTACTTCTTTTGTTAGGGCGAAGCATATGAGCCAATTGCTCACTTCCAAAATAATTAACAGGCTCAATTCCACAGCTAACAGGCACTGCAATATAAATTGTGAACTATATGAGAACCAAGAGAACTAAAGATCATTCATCAAGTTCTGATTGATCTAAATATTCATCAGACTTGAATTGTAATTCAAATCATTTATTCTGGTTAGACATAATTTAAAAAAAAAAAATTGTATGGAATTCATTAAGTTGAAATCAGATTTCTTAGAAACAAAAACAACTTACCACTCCCAAACAACTGCAGCTGGCCAGAAGCATTAGTTTGATATTGATTTCGATTTTCATCCTGGAAAACGGGAAGCAAGCCATTGCCATTGTTGCCACCCAACATTTTCTCCAGAGAACTGGTGGACTTCAAATAATGTGAAATTTAAAATACCCACAGTAATGAGGGTTCACAGCCTGCAAAAGCAGACAACAGTCTTAATAATCTATTTCAATGATAGAATTAAAATGACAAGAAAAAGGACAACATTATGAACTATTACACTACATGAACATATTTTTAGTATAACTGGGGTATGGGGATTTAAACCCCCAACTTCAAGGAAGAAGTATATGTCAATTACCGGTAAGTTATGTTCACTACATAAGCATGAGACATGGCTTAGACACTAAACCACATCAACTTCAAATCATTTAACCAAGAAGGGACTAAGGGGTTTAATTGGAAAAACATCTGACGAAATAAGAGGATTGAGGCAGTCAATTCATAGAAGTGCCAAAATTCTTGGATGAAACAAGTTCTAAAACATTCTTGGCATTGTCACAAAAGCTTCTCTATTAAACTCATCACAAATACAATAAAACAATACGGGCCTCAATTTCAACATCTCCTATTACAATATATGGGTTAGATGGTTCCATGACTTAATTCGGTATTTGAAACTCCAATAATGAGGAATCAGTAATCTTCTAAAATCCAGTTATTCGGAACATTAACTTAGAATAACAATCCATCCGAATAAGAGAAAATACGAGAAACTATCCATCGTGAAACCAACCTTGATAGCAGAAAGTCAAACATAAATATCAAATTGAAGGCAAGCACGAATTTCAGAAATAACACTAGAAAGACATCAGATCAGAAGAAAATCTCAGAAGTTCAATCACAGAACCGTATCCAGATGGTGAGAAAGAACATCGGCAGGGATGGGCAGACGGTAAAGAAGTGGAAAAACAGGATGAAGTTGAATGTATCAGAAGTGCGGGGATCTCTAAAACAGGAAAGTTAGAAGGATTGAAGAGCAGGTTTGACCGGAATCGCATAATGAAATTAAAAAGAAAAAAGGGATTAAATAAGAAAAGAACAGACAGTGTAACAATATGTTTAGTTCAGATCATGGATGAGGGATTTATTAGGAATAGGAAGTTTTGGTTGCGAGGCAGGAGTTTAGCAACGATGCGAACAAAAGCTAGGTTGTGAAACATGGAAGGAAAGGTGAGAGGAAATACCTGAAGAAGGAAGTGAATTGGGCAGAGTATCAGATGAGAGGAAATATCATCTCCAGATCCTGGCATACAACAATCCAAACAGAGTCATCCACACAATTGGGAGCAGTAGAGATATAAAGAAAAAAGAAAAGAAAGATGGAATACCTTGAAGATGGCATATGCAGAAAAAGAAAAGGAGAGAGAATGATGAAGGAGGAAGAGGAATAGGATGAAGAAATATATGGAGGAGAGGGGAGAGAGGGATGGAAGGGTTTTGGAGCGGTAACCGACGAAGAAGAAGAAGAAGAAGAAGAAGAAGAAGAAAAATAATAGGAGAGAGGGAAGAGAAAATAAGGGGAGGTGGTGCGGTGGGAGTGCAAAATTTATTCGAATCAAATGAATGAATCGGTGGTAGTGGTTACGCAAACGGATTTCCGTTCCTTTTTTTGTTTTATTTAATTTTAATTTTAATTTTATTTTCCTTTTTACGAAACTCAAATTATGGAAGCCATTCCCAGAGGAAGAAGAAAATTAAAGGTGATAATGTCCCAACCCACGAATTTAACTCACCACCCCCTGGACCCCACCCAGTCCTCTTTTTTTTTTTTTTTTTTTTTTTTTTTTTTTTTTTTTTTTTTTTTTTTTTTTTTTTNCGTAACATATTATTATATTTACTACGAAAATAAAAAATATAATATTTTAAAAAATGTATATAATGAGAATTAGAGAGAGAGAGAGAGAACGAGAGAAAAAAATGGAAGGGGAGGATTGGTGGTGTGAAAATGAAATGATGAGCGTAGGAGTAGGAGATGGTGGGTAGGAGTGAGGAGTTAGGAGTTAGGAGAGGCATTAACTATAAATAAATTATTGAAACCACAAAAACAAAAGAAAAGAAAAATAAATAAAATATAATAAATAAAGAAGGGGCGGGAAACAAGGCCTTGTGCCTTCTCTTCATCCATCCTTCCCTCCACTCCTTGCCCCCCGGGCCCACATCTCTTTTTTCTTTTTTCTTTTTTTCTTTTTCTTTTCTTTTCTTCTTTTTGGCGCGCAATTGCAACAATTGCCTTTGCCTTTGCATTTCTAGCGAAGCGACAGCCTGCTGTGCTCACGGATCTCCATTCCCCGATTTGCGGGTCACCATTTTAGTCCCCATTGCATTTATTATTATTATTATTATTTTTTTTTTTTTTTTTTTACTTCCAAATCTGAACCATTTTTATTCGTTCATTCGCTCACTTTCCCCCTTTTTCTTCCTTTCCAATTTAATTTGAGAGATTCAAATATGGAGTGTAGATCCAGGTCAATAATACAATGCTTTAACTTGTTAGGTAAATAACTTTGAATTATCAAAGTTGACTATATTTTTATTTGCCTCCCCTTAAAACTCTTTTTAAACAAGCCAATGCCAGTAAATACTTCACAACTAACACAAGAAAAAAAAAAAAAAAAAAAAAAAAAAAAAACTTACTTTTTACTTTTTACTGTTGTGTGCCCAAGTTAAAGAAAGAACACGTTAATAGAAATGGATTTGAATGGGAATGAGCAGCAACTGTTCGTGTTTGGTGCACATTGATATGAATGTAAAAGGTCAATTTTGTTGACGGAGAAGCCGAAAGGAGAAGAGGACAAAACCGGACTCCGGACACAACGCGGTGGATGGGCCTCAATCGGCGTGCCCTTATATTCTATTCTTCCCATTCAAACAAACACGTTTTGTTGACTAATTCACCAACCCAACAAATCCAAACCCTGCATCAAACCATCTTCACCCACGAGTGTGTCAATTGTACATCCTCTGGGCTCTGCTTCAGTGGGCTCGCTCACATTCTGCTTCTCATTTGCATTGCCTAAGGCCCAACTACTTGGGCCTCGTTTTGCAGTCTTCACATTCAATTTTGTCTCTTCTGGGCCCAACTAAACTTTCAAATTTTGGGCCTTCAAGGGAAATGCCCATTGCTAAATGGGCTGTTAGATCAAAGCCCAACAAAAGAGGATATAAATTAGCAATACCTACCATTGAGGAGAACGCAAAGCTAAACCCTTCCAAGCCCTAGAAACTACCATCTTTCCCTCCGAGGGCTGACCAGAAGGCGAAGATGATCATCCCAGTGCGTTGCTTCACCTGCGGAAAGGTAAGCCATGGACAACTACATTCAAATTTTAATTTTAACCATCTTCTCAGAATTGCGTATTCCTGTTTCCTCTATCGTTGAATGTGCGACTGTTTTTGGTTTGCTGCACACGAGATCACGAAGTATTCAATTTAGTATCGCCTCAATCTTTTTTCAGGTGATTGGAAACAAATGGGATCATTACCTTGATCTTCTGCAGGCAGACTATTCAGAAGGGTATGGAAGTAACACGTTCCTTCTTCTTCTCCTTCTTTTCCCCTTTCATATTTCTTGTCATCACACGTGTTTGGTTTTTAAATTTCTCTCTTTATTTTTTAACGTTGCTTGCTAGTGGACGAAAGTATACCCTTCTGGGGATGCTAATGCTTTTCTTTTTCCTGTATTAGGGATGCGCTTGATGCTCTGGGCTTGGTTCGCTACTGCTGTAGGCGAATGCTCATGACTCATGTTGACCTTATTGAGAAGCTTCTTAATTACAATAGTAATCCCTCTTTCTTTTCTCTATGTTCGTGCACGAGTTGTTAAATTTGCAATGTACAATCTTTTGCCTACTTTATTATTCGCCCCCCTTTTACACTTGAATTGCTGTTGTTTTCAGCTCTGGATAAGTCTGATCCCAGTTAGGCGGGGGACAAGTTTGCTGCTTATTCAGTCCAGCAGAGATTCATGTTTTAACGGTGTTCGCGTCCAGTTAAGAGAGAGAAGAACTATGGAAAGAATCATTACAGGACCAGAGTTCAGCTAATGTCTAGGAGTTCAGTTATTTAATCTTCTATTCTATGTGTTTATTAGTTTTTAGGAGTTATTTATCAGTTGGTTGGAAAAAACGGATGTAGTCAGTTGAGCTGAGAAGAATCTGTTCTCATAACTGGCTTTGTGTAGTGCTGTCTATATCTGCATTATTGCATCTACAATCCTATTAATACAACTATCAGCTGTTTTTGCTACGCCATTTGTTCTAAATGCTTATAGTTTTTGGTTTCTCAATGTCGATTAGCTGATGAGGCATAAAAGATGGTTTGTTATCTTCCCACGTGCTCATAAGCTTTAGCTTGACCTGCATATTGTTTCCTTCGTTCATTTGATAGGGGAATTTATTTTTCCTCAAGCTTTTCACTCCAAAACCTTTGAAAGGGAAGTCTATAGGAAAGGGAAAGCCCAAAAAAATGGTTTGGGCTTGTACAATTTGAACTTTTTCTTTGATCTTCAGCATATTTTGCAGACTGTTCAGACCTATGAAAGGGGTTTGTAAAGTGCGATTTAGTCTTACAGCTATATTTTACATTTTGTTGGAAATTATTTGATCTTCCCTAATGACATCCTTTGTGGGTGATAACTTGTGTCAATAGTTTGAATGTCCAGTATTAAAACTAAGGACTTGGTTTGTAATTGTTTTTAGGGCAGGGCTGTTGCTCCTCAGAATAGAATTTTGTGATAGCATGAATAGAAGCGAAGTACTGTGGAATGAATATAGTGGTAAGTACACCGAGTAATATCAGATCATTACAAACTAAAACTCAGTCAAATTGATGTAATAAATGGTTGCTCATCCTTCAAATCACGATCAAGGCTTTGAAGGGACTACATTCTTTCACAACACAAGGAAGTTGAGGATTGGAAACATGAACTTGAAGGATTGTCACAGCACAAATCACTCCCATCCCATTTCACCGCGTGTATGTTGAATTTGGAGACAACGTGGGCAGCGACTAGACACTAAAAACTTATCCATCCCGAGGCTCACCTTTGAAATGGGTTTCCAATTTCTCTGTATGTTGTTGTGACCATTCATTTTGAAGGCAGCTGATCTTAAATAATGGGATCAATCAACCATCAATGTGTAGCTGTAATTTGAATGCCACTTGGGAGACAGTATATGAAGTTAAAGAGGGTGTTAAATTATTGGGGCCAAAGGGGTAGAGAGATTTGCATTGTTCCTTTTTTATCTCCTTCATTTGGATTGGGTGTACCCATCATTTGGATTGCTTCTCCTGTTTCCGCCCTTCACTCGGATATCTGTGGATAATATAATATGGTCTTCTCGCCTCTTACTTATTCTTCTGCCATAAAAAGCTCACAAATATCATCAGCTCCTCTTTGGCGCTTGTGAAGCTTTCACTCCTTTCTCATCTCCTATTCTCTCTGGATTCAACAACATCTCCCTTGAATGTACTTATATTCTATTGGTTTTGTCCAATTCCTAAACAGAGATTTATATGTATTATGTACCCTTACAGCCACCAGTTTCTTCCCTGTTTTCATTGCCACCCCCAGGCCTATATCCGGAAGGTACTGCTTCTCTCTGTCTCTCTGTCTCTCTCTCTGTCTCTGTCTCTGTCTCTCTCTCCATTGGATTGGATATATATGTATAATTATACAAAAGTAAGTTGATAATGAGTATAATTTTGAATATTGCAGGTCCAACACCTGATAGAGAGATGCTTGCTGCTTCATATGAGTCGAGATGAGTGCGTGAAGGCATTGGCGCACCATGCAAACATTCGCCCTCTCATAACACATACAGGTCCACAGTACTCTTTTAGCCCACAATACTCTTTTAGTCCACAATACTCCTTTAACTTTCTTCTTTTAAATCAAATTAATTGAGGTTTTGGGGTTTGTGTTTTGGGGTTTGTGGTTGCGCCTCACAGTCTGGAAAGAGCTTCAGAAAGAGAACCCCGAATTCTTCCGGGCATATTTCCGCACTATTTCTCGCCATCCATTCCTCAGTATGATCCCTTCCCTTCTTCCTACCTCCAAAAAATTATTCAAAAAATCTTTCCTTAAACTCCTCCTCAGTCTGGCATATAACATCATGAAAACCTCTAATAACCAAAATAGGAATATGTTTTGTTCTTAAAACATTCCACTTTTTATGCTATCATTAACAACTGTTAGTGTAAAGCAAGAAAACAGGTTTAAACCTACTTCTTTGATCATTAAATAAATACTGGATGAGTTTAAGTGATCTTAAATTTGGACCCCCATGTACAGCCAAATTCACGAGGAGTGTGCCCAGAATCATGAGAAGACAATATCAGTGGAGGTGACCCAACTACGCGAAGTGTTTCAGTAGTTCAACCGGTTAAGATGTATAGATTAGATAGTAGGTGTTCGACCTCGAGAGTGATTGTTGTTATCACAAAGGCGTGCATAGGGTCCAAGGCATTGTTGCAGAAGCAAAAGGAGAGAGATGGAGCATTTTATGTGGAGTGCCTCCTCCTAAGAGGAACTCCACCCCCAAACAACTTTCTGATTTTGATGAATAAGCCTTCAGTAATTGAATAATACTTATTTTTCTGAAATAAATAGAGCATTGGTTGGCAAAGGACAAAATAGAAGCCTTTTAATTAATAACACTCCAGTTGTCAAGCTTTTTAATTAATGCTCCCATTAATAGAGTCAGCCTCATCAACATCACTCAAAATAAGGTTTAATGCCCACTTTTAAGAGTCTACAACGTTTTCAAGATTAAGGCTATTCATATCTTCTATTTAAAAAAAAAAAAAAAAAAAAAAAAAAAAAAACCAAATTATTAGTGTGTTTAGCAGGAACGTAATTGCATAGAGAAGCATGTGGAGCTGCTTAATACTCATTTTAAGCAGCTCGGAGAAGGCGGATGTGATCTCCAAGCTTGGCTTCATATATTGAAAGCTAAAACACACACGCATATAGATATGAAATGAAATTAGAAGCATTACAATTTAAAGATATAAAGATATGTCGAGTGAGGGGTTTGAATTAGTTTTGGTGGAAAGGGCAGAGACCAATCTGAATCATCTGAATCTCAATCTCAGTGGCATCCATTCAATTGCTGAAAACAGAGAGAATTGCAAGTAATTACTCATAAATTCTTAATTAAGTGCGACTCCATTTCAGGACGTGGTCGTTGGCTTTCCTTTCTTTATTACCCAACTTTTCCAACTCTTCCTCTACGCAAATGGTAAACACTTTTCCCTTTCTCTTCATTACTCAACATTAATGTTTTGTCTACTCATATATAATCTGTGTTTAAATAATCACGTACCCTACCCCATTTCATTAACTCCCTCATTTGCTTTTATTAATTACCTGATTAGGCTCTTTCCCTTCCGCCCGCTCCCCACGTGATCTCCTTCGCCATTGACTGGAGGGAGATGAGCCCACTGCATGCAACAACCAACCCAATTCTTAAAACATTAATTAATTAATCAACAAACAAACAAACAATGCTTCTTTCTTACATTCTTTGCCGCTGTCTTGAATGCCTCCTTATGCGCCATTCCCGGGTTCTCCGCCTTCAGCCTCCGAATCTCCTCCCTGCGTTGGTTGCACACATCATATGCATGAAATACCATTCTTTTTTCCCTTATCAATATTATTGTTACTGTTATCTTACTTGATGAATTGGTTATAAGCTGACGGGGCTCGCTGTTTCTTCTCCGGGGCTAATTATGAGAGGCCACAATCAAAAGCCAAATAAAATTCAAATAATAATGATAATACTATATTGTCCATGGAGGCGTACGCTTGTTAACAACTGGAGTGGGCGGAATGATGATGGCATCATCATCATCATCGTCTTCGTGATTTTGGATAATGTTGTGGTACGAGGTTAGGAGGTCGGATGCGTTGTTGCGGTTGTCCAAGCACAAGTGTTTCTGGACGTTCAAGTCTTGGAAAGGCTCCTTTGGCTGTCAATTTTGAATGATTAAGAACATGTTTTTGGAGGGAAACCAAATGAAATGAAAAGGGTACCGACCAAGTTGTGAGAGAGGGAAGTGAGAAGATCAAAAGGGATAAAAGAGGGCTTGGCCATGTTGACGGAGAGGAGGCCAGTGCAGTTGCCGCATCTTACGCTCACCACCATCGACAAGTTGCTGTATGGCACATTTACCTGTTCGTATAATATAATACTATTATTAATTCAACACTTCCAAACAAAAACTACAATATATAATTTTCGTTGTAATATGATCTTACCAACAATATGGTGCTACAAAGACCACATTGCACATAGCGAATCTGTTCGGAGGGGTCGGGCAGGAGGTGTTCCAGTGTGGACGACATATCAACAAACAATTGATAAAAGAGAGATGAGGAGCTTTGAGTATGTCTGTGACACAACGGCAACTCCAATTTATAGCTGATTTTGGTGGACGCATTATTATTTCATCATTCTCAAATACTTTACTGCCCTTTCAATTAATGAACTCATTGTGTCGTTTTCTCACTAAGATTCTTTTATCATTTAATTCTATATTTATTTTAATATGTTTTCAACCCTCAACTAGCTGCCCCATGGACAGGAAGGAACCACAGGTTGTGTCCATAACTCTTAATATATCACTCAAATTTAACCTAACACAACTGACATAAAACATATATGATCCATACAGAGGTTCGTAAGGTAAATTATATATTTTAGATATAAATAAGCCTAAATTCGTAGCTTTTAAAAATTTTAAATTGGTGAAAAGAGCTAGATTCCGTTGACTTCTTGTTAGACTTTGGGCTGGGCTGATTTTTTAATTTTGTTCAAACCCAAATGACGTGTGATTGGGCTTATAAGTTGTGCAAGCCCAAAGTATTGAAGTACGAGTTTCTCCGGTTCCAGTCTTGAGGCTTCAGAAATTGGTTATTTTGGCAGAACCACCGTGCCCTTCACTTCGAACACGAAGTGTGCAACAGAACGTGGTTAATATCCATTTTCTTCGAACACAGAGGGTGAAATTTCTGGGTTTTTTTTGTTATGAGAGAGTTTCTGAGCGTTGGAGTTGTCCCCAACTCTTTGAATTGTACTCTGTTCTAGAGATTGAAGTTAATAGAGGATTATCTTCACTTTGCTCAGAGGGTGTAGAACTCATTTGGATTGATATGGCTTAAACTTTTAAGAGTGATGAACTAAAATTTGGGTTAACCATTAGAGCTCCTATATACTAATACGAGGCCCAAGACTGGTTCCGACCATGAGGACGGACTCATTACTGGATAGACTGAATTCGTAATCAGCAGCGGGAGTACCAAATTCGACGTAATTACGGCACTAATTTGAAAACATAAAACTTCATAACATCTCTCAGAAAAAACAACCAAACAATCAGAAATTGAAAGATGCGTCAAATATATGAACCAAAATTTGAGTATTCAGCGTTTCCAAATGTAACACGGTTCATGAAAATAGATCAATTTTATCATTTTAAATCCTAGTATTGTCCCAAAAAAATGATTATCATAACAAGCAATATCTATCAAAATGTAGACATAAAATAGACCTAATCGCCGCCGGGCTTCTGATACACGTAAGTCAACCCACACTTGCCACAGTAATGACGATCAAAATGATTGGCCATAAAGGTACCAGCTCCGCATTCAGCGTTAGGGCACTCCTTCCTAAGCCTCTGAACCTTTCCAGAATCGTCGACCTTGTAAAACTGAAGAACGGCGAGCTTGACCTTCTTCTTCTTGTGCTTAATCTTCTTAGGCTTGGTGTAGGTCTTCTTCTTACGCTTCTTAGCACCACCACGGAGCCTTAACACAAGATGGAGCGTGGACTCCTTCTGGATGTTGTAGTCGGCAAGAGTTCGACCATCCTCCAGCTGCTTACCGGCAAATATAAGACGCTGCTGGTCCGGCGGTATTCCCTCCTTGTCCTGAATCTTTGCCTTGACATTGTCGATGGTATCAGAACTCTCGACCTCGAGAGTTATGGTCTTCCCGGTAAGCGTCTTGACAAAGATCTGCATATTGTTGCAGTCGCGGGTTACCGAGGCAACGAGGGGAGATTGGGAGATTAGGGCTAAATCTGATGCGAAATCTTTATATACGGGAATTAGGTTTGTTGGGCGGGTTTTCGGGAATGGGTCAGGAAGCGGTTGGATTGATCAGCATTTAATTGGGTTGATGGATGTAGCAGGCTGGGCTTTATGGCCCAAAGTATTCAGGCCCGTTTATCACTATGATAACCTTGCAAAATAACGCATTAAATATTTGAAGCTTGAAATTGAAACAATATGGTTTATTATAATTTTGGCGGTACACGTGGCAGCTAGATTGACCATAAGTCTGTCCAGAAAAATTCCCGAAAAGTCGCACATAAACCAATCCGTTCCTTACGGCTCTCCCCAAGTCTGCTCCTCCCGCGATCCCGCGGTAAGAGAAGGAAGGAAGGCCCCATTGCTGCACTTCTTCCTGCATCTGCGGAGTTCTTCTACCTAACACCGTTTCTCTACCTAACACAGTTTCTCTACCTAACACAGTTTCTCTGTACAGCTTTTAACTCTCCTTTCTCTCAAATCATCGAAGGAAGCAAAGCATCTCTCTTTTTATTGAATTCTCTGTTCCCTTCCCTTTCATTTGCAGACCGTAAGCCCCACGCCTTCCTTTTTTATTGGTACGAATACTTTGCTGGTCTTCTTGCCTTTCTAGTTTTGTTATGATCGCCTCTGTTTCGATTCAATTGGAGCGATCTAAAGTAAAGAATTAGGGAATCCCTCTCCCCCTATTTCCCATTTCTGTGGACTTCTAATGATTGCGATGTTTCTTGTTGGATATATGAGTTTTAGCCATACTTCTTGGTGTTGTTTATTGAGTTTCAAGTCATTCTTTTGTTGTTGTTTTTTTCTTTCATGCACATGGATTCGCTTCGTTCTAATCTTTCCTTTTTCCCATTACAATGGTGAAAAAAACTCAATTGTTCAGAAAAGTTCTATTGTTATTCTCACAGAAATCATTTTCGATGACTGGAGTTGATTTAATAGTCGTTGTTCCTCCTTGTTTGAACCTGAATTTGTCTTCCACACACGATCATTGGGATCCATCCTACTTCCCTCTTTCCCTGCTCTAATTTTTTTTTTTTTTTTTTGTCTGGACCATTGATTTATAACAGTTTTCTACAAGTTTAGACTATCTTTTCAGAGACAGCTACAATAATTGAATCGGATTTTCTGTATCGTGTATAATTAACCCATCATGAGTTTCTTAGCAGAATTTTCAGATCATACCTGGAAGCCTGTCATGACTACTGATACTAATACTTTAAGTTATTGGTTGAACTGGAGGTTCTTTCTATGTGCTGTCTTTCTATCAACCGCTATGGTAGTGGGAGCCCTATTAATATCGAAATATGAAGGCTTCAAAAGACCCAAATCTGGGTCGAGCGATGATTCACAAGATTCAGCTGGGTCATTGTATGAAGATGAACTCTGGCGGCCGTGTCTGAAAGAAATTCATCCAGCTTGGCTGCTAGCTTACAGAATGCTTGCTTTTGCTGTGCTTTTCGGATTGATATTAGGTGACGCTGTTGTTGTTGGAGGCAGGATATTCTTATTTTATACTCAGTAAGTCATTTATACATCTCGTATTCTGGTACCATTCTTAACTGAATAGTATATTAAGTGAGGACACCAGTATTAGGAAGCATGAACCTCTACAATGGTGTGATATTGTCCACTTCGAGTATAAGCTCTCGTAGCTTTGCTCTTGGTTTTTACAAAATGCCTCATACCAATGGAGATAGTGTTCCTTACTTATAAATCCATGATCTTCTTCTTAATTAGCGAATGTGGGACTACTCCTCTCAATAATCCTCAACTACCCGTGCTTTGTCAGACAATCTTGTTCTTCTCATTATTCCCATGCTTGTCAAACTTGTTCTTCTCATCTTACATCGATATATTTAATGAAATCTACAATCATTGATTTAGATGGTATCCTTCTGATGTCTGTCTCGTATATTGCCAGAGAGGTTGCAAATTTATTTAGTTGACTGTACGTAATAATCAACCTGCCATCTCAGGTCATCATATTTAATCAATTGATCATCTTGAATGTACAGAAAAAAAAGTTACGAACTATTTTGACAACATAGGAAATGAAGTTAAACCACAGACTAACATATTATTTCGTGCAGGTGGACGTTCACATTGGTCACGCTCTACTTTGGGGTATGCTTTATAACTTTGAAAGCTACATTTCTGCTGGCAAATCCTGTTATACTTCCCTCACATTTAGTAGACACAAAGCAGGATGGTGCATAAGTATGTTATATGCTTGGGACTTTGAAACTAGCCCTGTGCATAACATAACTACCATATCTAAAATAGTGATCCATCGTTTGATATATGTTGCACCATCTTATTATATATGAAAATCCTTTTGGTTGTTGAGAACTAGAATAATCAGGAAAATAACCCTTAACATTCAATGAATTATTAAAATTCCATGGCCTAGTTTCCCTTTATCTGCAGGTTATTAACTAAGCTCAAATATTGCCATCTTGTAGCTTGCAACTTCATTCTCCATTTATGGTTGTTATAATAGTGGCAGCTCAACCGAGCGTACAAGTTTAGATGCAGAGCGAGGCACTTATGTGCCCCCGACTCTTGGTGGGGAGAATCCTGATATGGCCAATACAGCCAAGAGTTTGAACTCCCCTGAAGATCTTCATGAACGCAAAGCTGCTGGTGTGGGTGGATATGCATTTCAAATTATCTTTCAGGTGATTATTTTCCTCCTAAAACTTAGCTGAAACAGCTTTTATGTTTAAATCTATGGATATACACAGGTTGGAAAAGTCTCGTACGTGCTATTAGTTTAACCTTTATTATTATTATTATTATCATCTTTCTCTTACATATAGAGAAGATAAAGTGGGTGCCCTGATGGTTCTTGCTCTCCGTTTTCTTTTTCTAGACATCTGCAGGTGCTGTAGTACTCACAGACATAGTATTTTGGTTCATTCTTTATCCATATCTTCTATCTCGAGGTCGTGGACTAAGTTTTGTAAGTATTTGTTTCTCTGTTGGACCTCTCGATCTAGCTTGAAGAAAGTCATTTATAGTTCTTTTTTGAATTGGGGTAGATGCATTTTGTTTTGTTTGATTGATGTTGTGATGGTTTCACTGTTTGGCCACAGTTTGTTGTTACCATGCACTCGGTAAATGCTGTTTGTCTTCTTGGCGAAACAATTTTGAATGACTTGGTACGTTTGGATACTTCCATCAATAGTCTTCTCTTTTGACACTCCATTGAGTTTGGATAATGATTTAAGGCTCTGCTTCGAACTGCAG